GGTTTCAAGTCTATTGCCAAGCAAAGAGTTAAGAGCTAAGAGCCCTTTGATCACAAAGATGTTCTATTTTTTCCTGAAAAGTTTTATAGTTTTACAGTTACTTTGTGGTCCATTTTGAGTTAATTTATGGATAAGGTGTGAGATTTATCAAGGCTCATTTTTTGCCTGTGGATGTCCAATTGTCCAGCACCATTTGTTGAGAAAACTTTTTCCTTAATCCTAATTACTTTTTCATCTTTCTCAAAAATCAGTGAGGCAATTTCTAGTTTTCTTTTTCCATTCTTTTACTTTTTCATGTGTTCTATGTTTCTATTCCTTCACAGAGTCTTGATTACTTTAGGTATATAATAAGTTTCAAAATAAGGTAGACTTATTTTTCCCACTTTATTCTTCTTTTCCAAAACTGTTTCAGATCCTATTATTCTTTTGCCTTTCCATATACATTTTAGAATAATTTTGTACGAATCTTCAAGAATTCATGTAGGATTTTTATATGAATTGTTTTAAGTCTATATATTAATTTATGGACAATTAATATCTTCACTATGTTAAATCTTCCAATCCAGAATCACAGTACGTCTCTCCATTTGGATCCTTGATTTCTTTCATAAGCATCATGTAGGATATAAGATCAACATTAAAACATCAATTGTATTTTTATATACTAGCAATTTTTATATGTTTCTCTTATATCCTGTGACTTTGCTAAATTAGTTTATTATTTCTAGGAATTGTTTTGTAGATTCCTTAGGATTTCTATGTAGGTAGTCATGTCATCTACTAATAGGCATAGTTTTATTTCATCTTGTCCAATCTCTATGCCTTTTATTTCCTCTTCTTGCCTTATTGCGCTGTGCCTTCTAACACTATGTTGGGTAAGAGTGGTAACACTAGATATCTTTGTCTTTTTCCCCACCGTGGGGGGCCAGAAAGCATCCAGTCTTCCACTATTCAGTATAATGTTAGCTGTAGGCTTTGTGTAGCTGTTTGTAATAAAATTGTGTGTGTCATGAATGGGTTTTAAATTTTACAAAACCCTTTTCTGCACTGATTGATATAATGATATGATTTTATTTTTTAACATGTTAAAACTATGAATCGTATTGATTGACTTTTCAATATTGAACCAGCCTGACTTCCCTGGAATAAACTCTGGTCATAGTATATAATTGCTTTTATATATTGCTGAATTCTATTGGCTAATATTTTAAGGATTTTACTTTTATACTCATGAGGGACATTGGTGTAGTTTTCATTTTGTGTGTGTCACTTTGTCTAGTTTTGGTTTTAAGTTCATACTAGCTTCATAAAATGAATTGGGAGGTATTTTGTAAGAAGTGTATAACTTGTGTTAATTTTTCCTTTTTAAACACTTGATAGAATTCTCCAAGGAAACTATCTGACCTGGACATTTCCTTGTTGGGAGTTTTTCAATTATGATTGCAATTTTCTTAAAATTTTAGAGCTATTCAAGTTGTTTCATTTTAGGTGAGTTGTATATTTGTGTATTTTGAGAAATTGGTCCATTTCTTCTAAGTTATCAAATTTATATCCGTAGCGTTGTTTGTATTATTTCCTTGTACCGTCTTCAGGGTCTGTAATTATATTCCCTATTTTATTCCTGATATTGGTAATTTGCATCTTTTCTCTTTTCTCTTTCTCAGTCTTAGCTGGAGGTTTATCAATTCCATTGACCTTTGCATTGATTTCTCTCTCTCCTCTCTCTCTCTCTCTCTCTCTCTGTTTTCAATTTCATGGATTTCCTCTTTTTATTATTTCTTTCCTTCTGCTTGCATTGGCTGTTTTGCTCTTCTTTTTATAAACTCTTGAGGTGAGGACTGAAATTATTAACTTGATTTTTTTCTCTTTTTCTAATGTATACGTTTAGTTCTATAAGGTTCCCCCTCAGCTCTGCTTTAGCTGTTCCCTACAAATTTTGATATGTTTTATTTTCAACAATGGTAGTCCCTCTGTTATTTCTGAGCGTGGGTGAGAGTTCCAACCCCCCAACTGATATCCAATCGCATCATAGCTTGTGGTCTTATTGCTCAGTGATGCTGAAAATCCTGACTCTGTAATAGATCTTCTTGACACCAACTCAGTGGAAAGGGGTAGGGGAGCCCCTTTGCTTCCAGAAGGGAGTTGAATTCCAGTATCCGTCAATACTGCAAGGGGTAAGGACGGTACCTTATGACCAACAAGCAGGGATAAAAGTCATAGCATTGTGAGTTTAGAAAGCCTTTGCAGGCATGAGTAAAGTAGTGTTTGCCTACCTTAGAGTGGTTATTGTCTAAAAATTTGTCTTGCTAGGCTGTCCCCGTCCTGAGCCTTTGGCTAGAGAAAACAGGCTTTTGTCAAAGCTCTTTTGTTGTTTGAGTTTTTGTTGATGTTCAATGTTTCTGAGTTGCCAGTGTTTTCAATTCCAAGTCTAACATATGTGAAGTGAAAACAAAACCAAAACCAAAACCAAAGAACAAAAATTTAAAAAAAAAAAAAAAAAACAAAACAGAATATTTACCACTATGTTGTTCCTTGGGAACCCTAGTAAGGCCCCTGCCTTCTTATCTCTACCTTTCAGATCCTTCTTATGTTTGTTTTATATATAATATCCAAGGACTTTTGTTGTGTATAGTGGGAAAATAGAGAAAAGTATGTCAAAGCCATCTTTCTAAAAATAGAAGTTGCTTTTTCACTTTTTACTTTACATAATAATCATTCTTTTGTACATGAACAAATGATTTTTGGCAAGATGCCAAACTACACAATGAGGAAAGGACAGTTTCTTTAACAAATGGTGCTGGTGAAACTGGATATCCATATGCAAAAGAACGAAGTTGGACCCTTGCCTTACATCATATTGAAAAATGAACTCAAAATGGATTAAAGGCCTAAATGTAAGATTTAAAGCAACAGAATTCTTAGAAAAGATAGAAGAAAGTCTTCAGCACATTGAAGGTAACAATGATTTTTTTTTATATGATACCAAAAACATAGGCAACAAATGCAAAAATAGAAAATGGGACTATAGGACACTTAAAAGCTTCTTCATATGAAGCCATGGTAACCTGCTCACCCTCACCCCCAAACCTCCTGAGGCCTGAGATGCCAGGAGTGTGGGGGGACCATTCTGGTATCTGGCCACTCCACCCTCTACAACAACATTGCAAGGAGTGCAGCAGCTACGAGGACTGTAAAACCACACTTCTGTTTCCGTGTCTGGTACTGAAGATTCTGGGCTGGGGGTGGATGGGACTGAAGATTCTGGGCTGGGGGTGGATGGGAGGAGGAGCGAGGGCAGTTAAGGAGGACAAAGGAGGGCCCCATTTGGCCAGGCTTGCTCTGAGGAGGTCAGGAGTCCTGAGAGGTGGTGGGTAGTCCTCTGGCACTGTGCCCCAGGCACGAAGGACAAGGCAGGAAGCTTGATGTAGGAGGGGCACCCTCTGATCTTTAACCATTTGGGGAAATGTTACACAATTATCTGCCAGTAAAAATATAATTTAGATAACATGCCATTTTCCACCTTCACTCAAATTTAACATCCATTCAGAAAGTATTCACAATGATTTAATTGTCAAATTCTTAACCTAAATAGTTCAAAAATTACTGTCATCATTATAGTTATTCACTTTTTCATTACTTATCTGTAGTAAATGATCTTTGATTGCGTCCAAAAATCATGACACAACATTTTCAATGGGAATTTCTCTACCGTTTTTGCCTAAACCACAACACAATTATTAAAAAGCATTTAAATAATTTGAAGATTTAATTAAGCACTTGGTTTCTTAAATGTTTTGGAAATGGGCCATGGTTTTAAATTAGTACTTCAGATTGAGCTATCATTTCCTTTTAAAGACTGTATAAATTCTAGCACATTGCAGGCACTTGAAAACCAGTGAAACAATTTATGTTCTGTCATTAAATAAATTTGAATTTTGGATTCTCTTGTCACAAATTGTGTGATTATAAGTTCTTTTGAAAATCCGATAGTTATTCAAAGTGAGCAAACACAGGCTTAGTTCTATAACCTTGGCCAAATCACTTAAATTAAAAAAGGTATAGTTTTCACTTTAAAACAGGAATAATAGGGGTGCCTGGCTGGCTCAATCAGTAGAGCATGCGACTCTTGATCTCAGGGTTGTTGAGTTTAATCCCCACATTGGGCAAAAAGCTTACTTTAAAAATAAATAGATGGATGGATGGATAGATAGATAGATAAATAGATAGATCAATTGATAGATAAAAAATAATAACTTCATATTACTCTGTCTCACATTCTGTATGTCTCACATAGTGAAAGTACATATGATATTGTGGGCAGAAAGTTTCCCCCCTTCCCTACTTCTGTTTTAAGGTATCACTGAACAATCAAGAGTCAGAGAATTATTTCCTCCAAGATATTTATCTACAAAGGTAAAACTAGTAATATTTCCTGGAGAAATCCAGGAAACCCACCTTAACCAAGTGATCAAGGGTAAGATTATCAGTTAGAAGACATATTGATATTATGTGTCCCATGAAATGATACACAGAGAAAGATACAAGATAACTTCTGGAGTATTCATGAGGAAAATGCAGACTCTCAATCTAATCTTGAGAAAATATGAAACAAACTCAAAATAAGACATTCTTCAAAATAACTGACTAGTGTTTATCAGCAGTGTCAAGGTCATTAAAGACAAGGAAAGAATGAAGAATTGCCACAGATTTATATAGACAACTAAATTTGATATGGGATCCTGGAATTTAAGAAAAGACTTTAGGGGAAGAACTGGTGCAGATTGAGTAAGTTTAGTTGATAGTATTATAGTAATGGTAGTTTCCTAGTTTTGATGATTATGCGATGGTTATATGAATTATTAACATTAGGGGAAGCCAGGTGAAGCATACATAGGAATTCCTTATCTTCTATTTGCAACATTTTTTAAGTTTAAAATGATTTCCAAAAAACTTTTTAAAGGAAATATCAGAAAATAAATTCTTAACTTTTTTTTTAATAGGAAGAAAAGGAAGGAAGGAGATTCCAACTGCTATCGATTAAACTGTTCATATCTTGAAGCTATAACCCCCCAGGTGAGGATATTTGGAGATGGGGTCTTTGAGGAGTAATTAGAGATAAATGAAGTCATAAGGGTGAGACCCTAATCTGATAGGATTAGTATTTATAAGAAGAAGAAAGCTCTCTCCCCCATTTCCTCCTCTCCTTCCTCACTGCCCCAACCAGAAGCATGCACCAAAAAAAAAAAGGTTATGTGAGCACGCAGCAAGATGGCAGCGGCAGCCCTCTGCAAGCTAGGAAAAAATCTTTTAGAGCCCGACAGTCTTCCTGCCCTGATCACGGACTTCTAGCCTCCAGAACTCTGAGAAAATAAATCCCTGTTGTTGAAGCCACCCAGTCCAAGGTATGCTGTTATGGCAGGCCAACCTAACTGGTGACTTATATACCATTTTATTCAGATACATACCCAGAAGTGGAATTACTAGGTCATATGACAGTTCTGTTTTTATCTAAGATTTTTTATAAGATTAAGTTCTGGAGATCTATTGTATAGCATGCTGACTTAGTTAAAAATACTTGAAAGTTGCTAGGACAGTAGATCTTTATTGTTCTCAGCACATACACACACAAATGACAACTATATGAGGTAATGGATATGTTAACTCACCTTAATGTAGTGATCATTTCACAACATATTTATATATACATATATATGTATCAAAATATCACACTGTACATCTTAAATATGTACAATTTTTATTTGCCAATTGTATTTCAATAATGCTGGAAAAACAAAACAAAAGAGAAAAGATTCAGTAGAGTTCATTTGGCACTGTACACAAGTGAGTCAATTACTTGGAAGACAGGAAACAAAGAGAACTCTTTTTTTCACCTCAGAACCCCTCTATACCCTTCCTTAACATGGGTAAACATTCACTGGAGCCTGGATATGATATGAAAAGTCTTTAGAGCTCCTTGTTCTGCAGAGAGAAAGGGAGCAACGACTCAGTTGTTTGGAGAAAATCCAACCCCAATTCCTGTTTGGACAGGGAAATGGAGATGGCAGAACAATCTTAAAAATAAACGTATTGATTACTTTTTATTTTCTGAAATTATCTGAGCCTAAGAATGGAAGGGATGTTGTTCAAGATATCCATTTTCATTGTTGACACCTTGATTTTCAGATGTTTATGGTAAAGACACATACTTTGTCTTCATGTTCATATTATTATAAAAGGAGTGTGTATTCATAATAAACTTTAAAATACTGAAGTGCATGAAATAACAAATGATAGTTGCCCTCTCAACACACACCTTTAAATTCAGAAATCTATCTTCTATTCCATCTTTTATCCTTAGGAGTATATTGAAACACAAATGAAAATATGAAGAAGGGGAATCGGAATGCATTCCTCTAAACTTAAAAGGCTAAATTTAAATTCTTTTTTTTTTTTAAATGTTTTATTTATTTCTAGGAGAGAGAGAGAGAGACAGCGTGAGCAGGGGAGGGTCAGAGAGAGAGGGAGTCACAGACTCTGAAACAGGCTCCAGGCTCTGAGCTGGCAGTCAGCACAGAGCCCGACGCGGGGCTCGAACCCACGAACCGTGAGATCATGACCTAAGTGAAAGTCGGACGCTTAACCGACTAAGCCACCCAGGTGCCCCGTTAAAAGGCTAAATTTAAAATGATTCAAAATAATGCTGTCGATATGAAGATCCAATATTTACTCATTCAACAAATACACGTTTCCATCACAGTCTTGGCCTAAATGAAATGTGGCTGCTCCTGGGAATGCATCTACCCCCCTGTTCTCTTACCTTCTTTTACCTTTGACCTGAATTTATATAAATGCCATTTTCAAGTCATTTCTCTTCCTTCGTCCCTCAAAAACTCTGGCTTTTACGAAGTTATTCCATCCAGTCGAGCCAGTGCCTATTCCTCCTGATGCTGTCGTCTATGATCTTCATGGGAGATTCATTGTCTTCCTCTTCTCTCTTGCCACCATTCTCAAGGACTGCAATGTCCCCGTGCCGTCCCATTCCACATCAAACCTGTTCAGAAACCAGACTTCCTCTCCAATGATCCTTTATTGTCTTCTACTTAATCCTCTCAGTTCTAAGGTGGTAACTTCACCTCATTGTTACCAGTCATTACACCACCTCCCAAAAAATGATCCCCTGCAGTGGCTTTACTTATACTTCATTTCAAAAATTCTTTGGCCTCACTGAAAACTTTGATCTATTGGCCCTACAACTTTTTCACTGTGAAGACCCACTTCATGGTTTCACTTCCCCCCTCCACTTTCTGTGCATTTCTCTCCCACAAAATATAAACTCCCTGAGGACCAGAATCTACCTTTCCACTCTTATCTCTAGCATCCAGGACAGGACCGTTCCTGGCACAAAGAAAGTACTCAATAAACATGTAATTAATAAATACATGAAAGCCCACTATGGTCCAGGTATTTGGCAAGGATGCGAAAACAAAAACTGCCTCTCCCTTCAAGTAGTTTAAACTAATGTATTTTATGCATATGTATTAGCACATTCATTACAAATTTCAACTATTTTTACTTGAACCAACTACCTGTTCTTAGCTCATTTCAAAAATAATTTTATATGTCATTATTCCATTGTTCTTATAACACATTTGCAAAGCCTCTTACTAGCAAGAAAATCTTTCAGCTTTCCAAATATATTCTTTAGGTGTAATAAGTAAGAGTGTTAGGCATTTAAAGCCCTAAAAGTAATTAGCCCACCCTTTTTAAAAATCTATCTGATACAAATAATCTATTGACTCACACTAGAAAGTGAGGAGGTTGGCAATACATATAGTGGACAGTATCCAGGCATTAGTGATTTCAGACTATTCCCACCTCTAGCCCTAATGAGCCCTAATCCAAATGCCACCATTGTGCAAAACAGAAAATTCCCCTGCTCAAGACACATTTTTGCCATCTCCTGGAAAATTGTTGTAATAACTATACAAATCCACAATGACAATATGAATGGCTCCCACTAACACTGTACAGTTATACAATTAAAAAGATATCCATTCAAGTCATTCCTTCCAAAAGTCATTGGGTCACGAACCTTTCTTTTATCTTCGTGTGTGTGTACATGTGTGTGCATGTAGGTGTGTTTTAAAATGTTTATTATTTATTTTGATGGGTGGCTCAGTCGGTTAAGCATCCAGCTTCCGCTCAAGTCATGATCATGCATTCCTGTCCCACAACAGCCTCTGTGCTGACAGCTCAGAGCCTAGAGCCTGCTTTGGATTCTGCGTCTCCCTCTCTCTGTGCCCCTCCCCTGCTCATGCTCTTTTTCTAAAAAATAAATACACATTTAAAATTTTTAATTTTTTAATGTAGTATTTATTTTGAGATAGAGAGAGCATGGTTGCAGGGGAAGGACAGAGAGAGGGATGGAGAGAGAGAATCCCAAGCAGACTCTGCTGACAGCACAGAGCCTTATTGTGGGGCTCAAACTCAAACTGTGAGATCATGACCTGAGCCAAAATCAAGGGTAAGATGCTTACCCAACAGAGCTACCCAGGTGTCCCTCTTTTTCCTTTATGTCATTCATATACATCATATGGAACTAACGTTTTTGGCATAATTTGGAAGTACCACTCTATCATATAAAAAGTGATTAGTATTAAGTCTCTGGCTTTTATTTTTAATTTTATATATTTTCAATATTCTCTGAGGGTTTGACCCAGAATAAACAGACTTCAGTTTGAAGCTAAGCTCTGACACTAACTCTGAGCAAGATATATTACCTCCCTAAAGACCAGTTACCTCACTTATAAAATGCAAATAGCAACGGTACCACCCTTTTAATTTTTTTTTAATTTTTATTTATTTCTGAGAGACAGAGACAGGGTGAGCAGGGGAGGGTCAGAGAGAGAGGGAGACACAGAATCCGAAGCGGCCTCCAGGCTCTTGAGCTAGCTGTCAGCACAAAGCCTGACCCGGGGCCTGAATCCACGAAGCAAACTGTGCGATCATGACCTGAGCCAAAGGACGCTTTCGACTGAGCAACCCAGGGGCCCCCAGTACCACCCTTTTAAAATAAGGATTACAAGAACCTTGGTGTGATCCTTAGTATATACTAAATTCTCATTAAATAATAATTCTAATAATACTCTTTAGGCCATCTGATATACAGAACAAAATTATTTACAGGAAGTTGTGTCTGAATGAGGAAGTATAGTTTGGGAGGAGTAACTATAAAAAATAAAAATCAACTGGATTTTGTCATAAATTTGTGTTTACAGAACAAATAGTAGCACACACACTCCCATATTCATGTCATATGCGTCATATAATCTCCCTGTCAGCAAGCAAGGGCACTGGTGATACAATTTAGAGACCATCCCTCAGTCCATGACCAGAGAAGCCAGCATTACACTATATTGCAAATCAATTTATTAATCACCCCAGAATCTCAGGGATGTGCTGACCTAAGCTGAGCCAGTTCATAAATCTTTTGTCCAGTATCCAATCTGTCCTTAAGCCTTGACATCTTTCCCAAGGCTTGGGAAATGTGCATGATAGAAATGTGAACTTTTATGGAGAAGACAGTATGTACCTACCACTAAATAAATGGGGTGTATTTATTATATATAAATGGGGTACAAACATATTGCTAGCCATATTGTCATGGCACCAACATCCAGCATTTGATTTTAACCTTTAGAACTGGCTTGAGGTGTGGTGACCATAGGGCCTTCCATGTGAAAAAAAAATAGGTTCCTGCACCATTAACTGGGAGGAGGGAGCCCAAGTCACAGAGCAGCCAAAGCACTAGGCACTTCTTAAGAGCCCTGGATTATTTGCCTCGGGCTTATACAAGGACAGAGTCTCTCTCCAGCTCTGGAGAGTACTTGAGCTTTTTCTAAATACATTTTTCAGCATAATAATAAACTCTATTTTCCATTTTTGCCTCTGCAACTGAGAGAGAATTGAGAACCACAGAATAATCTGTGATCATTATCTGTATGTTTCTATAAAGGGTGGTAAAGTGCTTATTGTGAAGAAGGCAGCAGAAATGCCCATATTAGCATTTACAGCAGAAGACAGACACCTCCCTCATCTCTTCATTTGTGGTTTACCAGCTCTCCTCTTACCGCCCAGTGACTCAAAGCTGTACCAGCAGCTAACCCCTGACTGTAGTTCTTTCCTCAAGATGAGCAGCTCTGAAAAATTAGAGCCAACAGAAGTGGCAGCCGAGATGTGCCATTTTCAACTTACACAGTTACTTGAGACTTTTAAAATATCTTTTTCCATATTTGAATATTAATAAGGAAACCAATAAATGAAATAGCAAAAATAAAAAGTACCTTAAAAAACTTAAGGGAAAGGGGAAATACATAAATTGAATAAATATATAGATTTTACAATAAAATGACAGTCTTTATATTGAAGAGATGATTACCAAGAAGGCAGTTATTATAAATGCATTTATACCTGGCCTGCGAAATTAAAAACACTAATTAAGATGGATGGAATCAGGGGAATCTGGGTGGCTTAGTCGGTTGAGCAGCAGACTTTGGCTCAGTTCAGGTCATGAACTCCTGGTTGACCAGTTTGAGCCTCGCGTTGGACTCTGTGAGGATAGCTCAGAGCCTGGAGCCTGCTTCAGATTCTATATTTCCCTCTCTCTCTCTGCTCCTTCCTTGCTCACACTGTCTCTCTCTCTCTCTCTCTCAAGTAAATAAACATAAAAAAAAAACAATGGAAACAAGTTGAGAAGAGAAAGGCTGATGTTAAATGATTGCAAGTAGACTATTCAAATTAACTTTGATGATTCATACCACACAGTACTAAAATTATTGGAAACAGTATTTCGACAATTAAGACACTTTTTTCTTACATTATTACCTGCTAATGTAGAGAATATTGATTGTAAAACAAGTCCATGATTTGTTTTAATAAGGATTTTAAAGCATAAACTGACCTGCATTACTATGTGCACACCCCATGTTTTACTTCTTAGGTGCGTTGCCCGTGAACCATTTGGCAGCAGGGGGCGCTATTCTGTTAAAATCCGAAAATCTTTAAAAAGCTTTTAGGGGCGGCATATTCGGTAGCATCCGACGAACAGTAGTTAAGTATTGTTTTCAAATAACATATGATCGTTTGAGCTCTGAGTTCCATTTAGTGAAGAAGGATGTCAAAGCGGAACGTTTATTAAATATAATTTAATGAGATCTTTGATTATAGCGCATGCTTGATCTCTTCGGAATAAATGTATTTGTCTGATTCATTCCACTAATATTTGCTGAGGACCAACTAAATGTAAGACCCCAACATATACTTCTAGTAGTCATCCCCGGTTATTGTTACAGGAGGGCCTGGAACTTTAGAATATGCTGCGTGCGCTCTAAGGGCAGAACATTTTTAAACAAAATGATGAAATTAAAAGTCACCATATTTAGCCCACTCAAATGTAAAGAATTCACTGTATAATAGATATTACCTAAAATGTTGGGGACAAACAGCAGAAACAGTCTCTATTCTCAGTTTACATCCTGAAGAGGTAAATGATTTTGTAACATGCGATTATTAATATATAACAATATCTGCATATTTCTCTCGTGTCATCTGTGACTTTTTCAGGACAGAATCCTCTGCCTCTCCACATTCCAGAACATCGGGTCGCTTCCTGGATTTCAAACCCTGGTCTATTCCTCCCTCTCTGACCTCCGCCGTCACCACCTCTTGTCCCGGAGCGAATCAACTCCAGGCTGGTTCAAGTTGCTGCACATTTTCAATTGCTACAAGAGATTCTCTTCGGCAAGAACAGCAGTGGGGAAAGTTTCCGCATAGCCGTTTTATATTAGCTAATGGGCACATTAAAAAAAAAAAAACCTTAATTTTTAAACTAGGAAGAATCCTATATCTTGCATTTTCTGAAACCTCCTTGTTTCGTTTTCAAGCTAACGAGGTCTTACTAGTGATCATGCAAAAAAGCCATTTTTGAATACCCCAAGTCGCAAGTCATTGGACAGAACTCTAGATGCGCGTCCAAGTCTCACGTGGTGCCTCTGCGAGCCACCCTGAGCGTTTGCTCGGGTTAAACCCTTAACGCTTTCTGCCTCTTCCTTCTGTAGACAGGAGAGAAGAAAAAAAAAATCTAGTCTAAAAGGGCCGGCCGTTGGCTTCCCAAAACTGATCCTTCGGGGAAGCAATCGCCATCCTGGAAGACTGCCGCGTGACTCAAGATCGAAAAGGTTCCCTAGTCGCAGCCACTCTGGATTCCGACGCCGCTCCGCGCAGGTCGCGGGGCCGCGCGGCCGCCACTCCGCCGTCCCCGCCCGCCCGCGCGGCCCCGGGCGCGGGCCGAGGAGGAGGGGCACCCTAGGCCGAGGTCGCCGCCCGGTTGAGCAACCCTACTATGCAAATAAGCAAGATTACGGCAGCCAATAGGAGGCCGGCTTTGCCCTGACGCGCGCGCCCAAAGCCCGTAGTATTTATAGATCGTATTTAAAGAGCCCTTGGGAGTCTCCCCGGGCTCGGTTGGGCGGCGTCGGCGGTGGAGGCTGCGGAGGTGCATTTAGTCCCGCGCGCGTGAGGTGGCCGAGCGGTTGCTTCTGGTCCCATCCCAGAGGGGGTGCTGGACTTAGGGGAGCGTCCGAGCACGTTCCACGGTGGCTTTTTTACCCACTTCCCAGCCGCGGTTTCTGCAGAGGGAGGAAATGCTGCAGCTGCAGCAGTAGTTTCACTTAAAACAAAGCAGGGATGTGGAATCTCACAAAAGCTGGAGGGTGACAAGGGGGCCGACCGTTTGAGCCGACCCCGCCCCGGCCCCACATTTGAGCCGCAAACGGGCGCCGTTTCCTGGTGTGCTGGGCTGTGCTCGGTAGAGGCGGCCTTCCTGGGGGGAGGGGAGAACAATACCGCCTGAAAAGCCAAAAGTCGTGGAATTTGGGGGCGGGGTTATTGGACCAGTTAAAGTGTATTCGTGGAAAAAAAAAGAAATTGCAAGATAGTGGCAGTGATTATCTTGGCTTTCAGTCGATTGATCTAAGGACTTCCCAGCCAGCAAACTGCACACTGCAATGCGAAAGCAGGAAACTGGCATTACGTCAGAAGGGAGAAGAGACCCAAATTGCAGCCCGTGCATCTGCAGGGCTGGCTTTCTTCCTCTCCCAAATTTAACCCCCCCCCCTTTTTTGTTTTTTAAGAGGTTTCGGGGCCTGGGGCACTGGCTGCCCCGCTGCGCGCAAAGGGCGGGGCGGGTAGGGGCGCGCTCAGGGACTCCTCGCCTGGGTGCCCCGAGCTGCTACACTTTGCCCTCCCCCGCGAGTTCCTCAGAAGCCACAACTAATTACTTTCAAAGGTAGCCCGGCACTGAGATGGTTTTCGTAAATTCCAGGAGGGGGCAGGGGGCCTGCCCGGAGTGCTCAGCTGTTGTCCTTAGTTCAGTGCGAGCTCAGGTCAACCCCGGGAAAGCAGGCGGTGTGTGGGGAGAAATCCCAACCGTGTGTAGAACTGAAGGACTTCGCCACACCTTTTCAGGGATCTCATTTCTTTTTTTTTATTTATTTTTTTTTAATGTTTTTTATTTATTTCTAGGAGAGGGAGAGAAAGCATGAGCAGGGGAGGGTCAGAGAGAGAGGGAGTCACAGACTGAAACAGGCTCCAGGCTCCGAGCTGGCAGTCAGAACACAGCCCGACGCGGGGCTCGAACCCACGAACTGCGAGATCATGACCTGAGTGAAAGCCGGACGCTTAACCGACTAAGCCACCCAGGCGCCCCCAGGGATCTCATTTCTTAATATCGAGGGACGTGGTCACAAGAAACCTGCTCTCTGCCAGGGTCCCATCTTCTGAAGCCTTGTCACTGCTTCTTAGAAATCTCCTAACAGATATGAGTCAGGAGAAAGTTATGACTTGGTACATTTTTGCCTCCTGGAAATGTTAAGTCTGACGCCAGCCTCACCTGCCCCGCTGCACCTTCGCTCTCCAGCTCTCCAGTTCGGGGCCATCAGAAGGTAACCTTGGTAACAAGTTCCAGGCTCCTGCCCCACCCCACCCATGGGCAAAGCTTAACACAAAAAAGGTGGTGACAATAGCTAATGATTATTGACGGTTCTGTGCTAAACAGCTTGCTGAGTGCTTTGTGGGACGTTATCTTACAATAGCTGGATGAGGTGAGTACTGTCATCCCCTTTTTACAAATTAGGAAACGGATTCCAAGAATCAACCTGTCCACTAGCTAGGAAGATGGGAACAGGAGAGGTTTGACTCCAAACCCATGCTGTTAACTTCTCTGTGGATCTGCATGGGGGAGGGGAAACGACTGTGGTCAGGGGAACGTCCAGGCCCACCCCACATCACGCCAAGAAGGCAGGGGCCTTTATTCATCCCTGATATCCTGTCAACGACAATAAACCTAGCCCTGGTTATGGGGCACCTGGCTGGCTCCGTCAGTAGAGCATGTGACTCTTGGTCTTGGGGTCATGAGTTCTAGCACCATGTTGGGGGTAGTGATTACTAAAACAAAACAAACAAAACCTAGTCCATGGTGGGTGTCATGTGGAAGGTTTAGTCAGCCCTTTCATGTAAGAGAGACTGTTGGGAAAACCCAAGTTACCTGTTAATTTTCTCATTGCCCTATGTTTGCAACAGTATCTTATAAGCTGTTTAATGATTAACTTTATATAGCGCTTCATCTTAGCTCAGGACATTGAATAATGTGAGCTCCTGTTCTCCCCATGAAGCATATAGGGAACCTATAGAACTGAGACTATGTGTAAGTTAGCATTGAGGCCATGTTCAGAATGAGCCCATAGCCTAGTTCAAGGTCAGAGGAGTCCTGCCTTTGTTTTCCCCCATTGGGTTGCCTAATCTCTCATCACTAGAATTTAGGCAACGGAGAGAGCCAGGGAAAGGAAACTGCCTGGGCTTTGGAGGATTGTGAATGGTGTCTGGGAAGGGAAATCCAAATGAGAAAAAGTTTAGAGAGACGAGGTTGTACCTGTTTACACAACCACACTGTCTACACGAGTATACCTGGGAGATATTGCAGAGTCAGATCCAGACCACTACAATAAAGCTAACGTCATAATAAAGCAAGTCAATGATTTTTTTGGTTTCCTGGTGTACGTACAAGTTATGTCTGCACTATACTGTAGTTCATTAAGTGTGCAATAGCATTATGTCTAAAAAAAAGTGCATGCCTTAATTTTAAAATACTTTATTGCTAAAAATGCTAACCATTATCTGAGCTTTCAGCAGGTTGTAAACAGTGATCCCAGATAACCATAACAACTATAATGATTTGAAAGTTTGAGATATTGCAAGAATTAACCAAAACGTGACACAGAGACATGGAGTGAGTACATGCTGTTGGAAAAATGGTGCCAACAGACTTGCTCGATACGGGGTTGCCACAAACCTTCAGTTTGTTAAAAAACAAAAACAAATGAACAAAAATGCAGTATCTTCCAAGTGCAGTATAACAAGGTAAAGCTGTAATAGAAACAAGTTATTTGAAAACCAGGCACCTGATAGAGGTTGACGCTCAGTTCTGCCCCATCCCAGCTGGAAGCCCTTAAACAAGCTGTGAAATGTGAGACCCAGTTTCCTCATCTGTGAAATGGAAGGCAGCTTGTTACCCCTCTGCTGATAGATAGCTTTGCCCCTGACATTCTCTGCTGCCTTCTCCTCCTCTGGTCCTTTAAATGGTGGTATTTAAAGATGAAAATCCCTGCCTTGGCCCCATCTCTTCTCACTCAACATTCTCCCCCTAGATGAGTTTATCCAGGCCATGGGCCCTGTTATCATTTGAAGTCCTTCTCTCTTGCTCAGTCTTTTTTCTGAATTCCAGATCTGTGTATCTGACTATGTACAGAAGTCCTCACTTGGACATGTCAAACTTAAATGTTCCAAACTGAACTGGTCATTATCTGCCTCCTAGCCAAGGATGATAAATGGTCTGCTCTGCCTTTGTATACCCCCACGCAGGTGTTCAAGTCAAAACCTAGCTAATTCCTCTTTCCCTTAACCAACGCACCCAATTAATGGCCAACCCCCACCATGCATAGGATACTTAGAAGTATCTAAGGAAAAGGGATTTTATTAGGTACCTTCTGTCTACCAGCCCCTAAATCCTTCTTTGCCGTGCAGCCATATCCCCTTCACCAGTCCCATGCAGTGGTCTTCACTGCCCTTAGAATGAAGCAGGGCAGGAGTTACAAAGCTCTTCGACACTAAGTCCAGACCTAGGTCTTGAGCTGTCCCTCTTGCTTGCTCTCCACCGTTCAGCCATTCTTAAATTCTTTTAATTCCACTAATGGCACCAAATTCTTTTGTTTTTTTCTTTTTAAATGTTTGTTTATTCTGAGAGAGAAGAGTCCGCAGAGAGGGAGAGAGAGAATCCCAAGCAGGCTCGTGCAGTCAGCACAGAGCCTGACTCGGGGCTGGAACTCATGAACCGTGAGATCATGGCCTGAGCCGAAATCAAGAGTTGGACACTTACCCAACTGAGCCACCCAGGTGCCCCTTTTTGTTTTTCTGAGCTTGAGCATAAGTTATTCCTAGAATACGTCCTACCATGTCATCTCACCTCCATCCTTTCTTCTAATGGCTCCTACTGCTCATTCAGTTCTCACTGTATGTTTCTACCCCCAGAAAGCCCTTTGACCTCCACTCAACTTCACTGTAGGTGCTCCTCCAGCTTGCTCAATGAACTACGTTCTCATCACAGCCTCTATACGCTGTATGCTAAGTGCCTTTACACTTTGCTGAATCTGTGTCCCTATTCATGTAGAGGGGGATACACCAGAATCATGCAAGGTGCTTTGTCAACCTGCACTCCAAAACCCACCCAACCCTCACCAC